ACCATAAATTGTTTCCCTCATTTTCACTTTGAATTCTAGGAAAATGATTATTTGCCTAATTTTACTTTTCACTCTTTTCTGTTACTTATTTTAAGAACATAGACGAATAACAATCCTGAATGCTGTTTGAACTTTTTTGTCCTAAATTTTCACTCCGGATTCCTAAATATTACACTAGTTTCTCTACAATAGCGTGCTTATCAGAAAATTATATAGTCTCAGTACCGAGTCCTTCAAGAACTCGACCGTCTCTCCGACAGTACAACTGTATATTAAAATCACAAACCGTTCAAAATATCAGTCAGTTCTTTAGAACCACAAAGGTTCTGATCTTAAAAAAATGTATGGAATATACTTTTTACTTTCAAAGGCAGCTGCAGAGGTTCAGTGGCACGGTAGTTAGGATGTCAGACTTGTGATATGCGTTTTGGCGCTGTGATGATAAAACTGGGTCACCTTGATTAAACCCATGGCTGGAATATACTTTTTATTTTCAAGGGGAGCTAATGTGATAAATGTCACGGTGGTTAGGATGTCAGATTAGGACACACGGTACTAATTCAATGGAAGAACTGTGAACCAGTCTAGAAATTGGTGAAGAAATAATAGAGTATATACGGGTTTGGTGGTCCATAATTGGTTAATAATGAAAAGTAAAATTTTATTAAAAATATCTTTTGAAAGCTTATCCTATGAGTAATTTAAAAAAAAAATAAAGACAAATTTCTATTGATGCAATTTTAGTATTTTTAAAGACTTGACTTAGGATTACTCAATAATGAAAGTAGCACTTGATTCGCTTGGTGCTGAATCAATAACATGGACTTCATGCATGTGTAGGTCAAGAAAATGCCGCGGCTCATATGATGTTCTCCACACAGAAGCTTGCACCAAGGATAGTTGTGCATGGAGAAATATAGGTCTGATCATCAGTACCCAGAAATTTTAAGTTATTGAATTTTAAATATGATGGTGTTTCCATATGTTTACTATGGGAATTGAATTAGTACCGTGACTCCTATATGCAACCCATGGCATAATAGGAGCATGCTGTTTCTATGGTTACCTCATGCATCCAGGGTATCATTTTGGTGGTTTTTGCATATGACAATCATAATGGAGTCATTTTATCATGGTTTGCAGGTGATTTTAGAGAAAAATTCTATACAAAACACAGATGGGAAGGGTTGTATACACTTTACAGGGTCAGTAGATAGCTCAGGCTATGGGAAAGAGAGACTTGTATGGCCTGATGACAAAATTTCATATGTTGATGCCCACAGATTGGCTTTTATGGTTAAATACTATTTATAATATGCAACAATTCCCCAAAAAGGTGATGGGGGAGAGATTTTAACTGTAAGCAACTTATGTCACAATCACCTTTGTATCAATACTGATCATTTAACTTTAGAGACACATTCAGTAGATGAAAGCAGAGAGCATTGTAAAATGCAAGGACTGTGCATAAAACAGCACATGTCACATTGCCTCAACCTGTAAAAATGTACTAAAATGGAGGGGGTTAATGGTAAGAATGTTCATATGTTGCTTGTTTTTTTTTATTTTAGCCATAGCACACATTAATTTGCCTTTGTTATAATTCTTTTCTTGATATTTCTCATAGAGTTTGTAAAGAAATGCTCTTTTCTCACATTTTTTCTCTTATATACTGTACTTGGTTTATACATTTTATCTCTGATATATATATATATATATATATATATATATATATATATATATATATATATATATATATATATATATATATATATATATATATATATATATATATATATATATATATATATATATATATATATATATATATTGCTTGCTTTTTAGATTTTGTGCCACAGATCTGCAAGCTGAAATTGGACAGCTTAGCCTGAGATGGACAGCACCATGATCCCTGTCATGGAAGTTTCTCTTAAAGATTATATACTTTGGTAAGCTGCATTTTGTCTTTCAATTCACTGATTCCACTGAGTGTTCTTGTTTAATTTTGTTTTTAACACTGTAGATTTACCTAGCTGATACTCAACATGCATTTGAAATGTACTATCCTCTCTCTCTCTCTCTCTCTCTCTCTCTCTCTCTCTCTCTCTCTCTCTCTCTCTCTCTCTCTCTCTCTCTCACAGACACACACACACACAATGGATATTTGCAGATCTGTTGATGTGAATATATGAAACAGAGCTTCATATCAGAAATATGGTCTCAGATTTGAAACAAAAGCTATTTATATAGTCAACATTGCTCTGCACTAAATATAAAGTGATAGAATAGAACCATTTAGTTGTAAATTAGAGCTTGCAACTTGGTAAACAAATCAAGGTATGTTACCTCCCCTTTGACTGTAATTCAGTGATTGCAAGGTTTGTGTTGTTACTCTTTTTTCAATAATTTGAGTATTTTATTCAGTTTTATATTGAAAAGTAAGTAATTTAACACTGCTTGATGTGGAAAGTAGTCACAATAATGATGTTGAAGCTTTTTCTTAACTTATTATGAGTTTTGGGTGAATGCAGATAAACAATGTATGTATTAGACAACTTTCATATGCAATCAATTCTATTACTTAAATTTACCAAGTAGTTTATGCAGCAATAAATTATATCAGTGTCTGAATATTGCATAGAAATATGGACTTAACCTGGCATCACAAACTTTTCCACATATTTATTCACCTCCAGCTTACTTTTGACTTGGGCCGCAGCAGCTTGCACATGGGCTAGCTGTCTCCAACAGTAATAAAAGCATTATAGGAACTTTGCATAGCTTTTTCCAATCTGTCTATTGTTGTCCTTATGTAACAGACCTCAAGTGGCTTTGTCTTTTGGGTTGATGGACATTTTTTTCCCTTTGTTCTGAGAAACATAACTAGGCTTGAAGAAAGACTGTCTATTCTTTGCTTCCTTACTCTTTCCCATAGTTTTATAGTAAAACGTAGCACTCAGTTATTTAATTCTTCAGTATAAGAAAACTTTCTTTGCCTTTTATACCTTTTTGTTAAGATTTGGGGGTGATAACTCAGATGTGTTGATAGTTTAATTAGTTTGGGACTGTCAGATTCTCTTGGTGCTTCATGGGTTGTGTATTTGTTTTAGTCACAGAAGGGCAATGACCTCTTGTCATTTTGACTTCTCATGTGGCACACCTATTGGTTTTCTCTCAATGTGAGGAATACTGATGCATTGTATCTTATATCTGTGACAGTCAGAAAGAAAAGAAATGCAATTTTGAAATTTAAAACATTTAAAACTTGTCTAATAGCAATTAAGAGATGAAAATACAATGTGTTATGTAATTTGATACCCTGTGATGTCATACTTGTTGATGTCAGCATGTTTGTGTTTTTTTTTGTGTAGCATGCATGCCATAGAAAGATAATATGAAGATACAAAGGCAGAAAACAATTATTTTAATAACATGAAAAATCCACAAATAAACAACACAGCAACATGTAATGCAGATGCAATTTAACTATATACAGTGGTATCACATAAAATGCCATTGCACTAATATCTTTGCACAAGCATGGCCAATTCTTTGTTTCAATCTTGTTTCAATGTCAATAACTAAAATACATGTCTTTTTAAAAAATTTAAATTTGGTTATAGGACACACGGTACTAATTCAATGGAAGAACTGTGAACCAGTCTAGAAATTGGTGAAGAAATAATAGAGTATATACGGGTTTGGTGGTCCATAATTGGTTAATAATGAAAAGTAAAATTTTATTAAAAATATCTTTTGAAAGCTTATCCTATGTGTAATTTTTAAAAAATAAAGCGGGTCGTGTGGTGGGGGTGGGGTGTATATCTTTAATATAGATATAGAATCCCCCGTATATACAAGCGTGGTTTAAATGTTAACCTAAAGAAGTAAATAAACTCACCTCTATTCACAGAATAATCTGGATATGAATGGGTATCCTAACTGACAGAACTTTATCCAACCACAGCATCTTTACATAGCATATATGGGATTTAAATCCGACACAAAAATAATTTTGTTAACGTCTTCTATACAGTATATTGTTCCAAATCAAACGATGCAAATATCCGGTCACAAATGCATTGCAGTAAATGTGGGAATTTTCTCATCAGGTAATCCTATTTTACATAAAAATCGCAACAATGTAACGTTTAGTTCTGAAAGTTACAATTTAGGATAAACGTGTAATCTTCTGTCGGCCCGCGGTACAGTGTACTGTATCAAACAATGTGGCAGCATCACATCGCATTGACCATTCTTGGTTTTAAAATGATTTTGTCGTTATAAAATGTTTTGTTGATTCGGATGGAAGCTTTTTTTATTTATAGTTTGTAAAACAGTACAATCTACTTTTACCAGTTCAGGTTAGTTTGGGACGATATTTTATGTACAACAAATGAAAGGTACCCGTCTGTCAGAATGACCGAAATCATTCGTTTTTCTTTTATATAAATAATTTCCATTGAAATAAAAACTGAGACAAAAAGAATCTCAAAAGGGTGACGATTTAACATTAAATTTATGAAACTAGTTGAATAATGTCCAGCTTTTGGTAGCCAAGGCTCGCAAAAGGTGGACATTATTCAACTCATTTCATAAATTCAATATTAAATCGTTACCCATTTGAGATCCTCTATTTATGTCATAGTTCCAATTAGGAATGCAAGAAGCCGCAAGAAAAGAAATAAATTGACGGTAACAAGGTATTGAGTGTATATTAGGTAGATTACTGACCATACCATACTGACCTTGACCAAATTTTGTGGGTTGCCGCCAGTTAGCGGAATACAAAACCTATAGATTCCTGGGCTTAAAGTTCAGAGGTCACAGTCATATTAAGTCTAACAAGTGTCTGCAGTGTGACAGTTTATAGTAATGTTAAGCTCTGGGGCATCATCCCACTCAGTCACATTATCCTGAAACCAGGCCGACCAGTCCTAACACTAACCTGTTAATGCTGAGCGCCAAGCGATGCAGCTGTTAATACCATTTCTATAAGTCTTTGGTATGAATCAGCCGGGGTTCGAACCCGCAACCACCCGCATCCGAGGTGGACTCTTTAACCACTTTAGCCACCGTAGAGGCCACGTCTAATAAGAAGATATCTCTGAAGAGTAAGCTGAGTTCAAGACAGCACACCTAAACTAAAGGTCAAGGTTAATGAGTCAGTAAGTCTAGATGAAGAATTGCATATCTGAATAAAGGTCGAGGTTAATAAAACTAGCATGTCAGTGATCTTCAGCTTCTATCATACCATGGTAGTGCTTACACGAGGGGCACTGCATACGTGGTAGGTGTTCGCTATTCCATTCCCTTTTGTTTCTTTAGGTTTGATAATAAATAAATTGACTTAGTATTTGTTTAAATAATTACTTATCATAAATATAATGAAATTAACAATATTTATATTGTACTGAGTAGGATATTTTTTTCAAAAAACGTTTATAATAGGAGCATCTTTCCAGTTATCGATAAACGATGAACACAATATTCATTATATATTTTTCTATGGTGTAATGATATAGCAAGAAGTACAATAGAAAACAATTTTGTTTCAAACGATTAATTTCGGTATTGCTTTTGGACCTGTACTTTGTTAAATTTCAGGATTCCCCTGTAAGATAACACTTTAAATATCATTAAAAAAATGTTTCAAGTTTAATATAAATGAACCATAAATGAGTTGTTTACAACATTTCCTCTACGTTGGAGTCTCGAATATGAGTAATAAAATTTAGTGTCGTATATGTCGTTATTGATATGTCATTGTTTGTTGACTTCTATTCTGATGTAACCGTTTACTTGAGTGCATTCTACTTCTATTTTGATGAACTGACCATTCGTATTTATTTACTTCTATTCCGATATAACTGTATAAATTAGTATTTAAGGTCATATATTCAAAGTTTATTTATAACAATATTTTGAGAGTGATCCTGAATTGGTTTTTGCGATATCACCTTTTTAAAATTAATCTTTATTGTGTCATGCAAACATACGGTCAGTGCTTGTAACCACCATCTTAGTGGCAGGCGTATGTAGTGATATGTAGAAAACCATCATCTTAGTGGCAGGCGTATGTAGTTATATGTAGAAAACCCATCATTTTAGTGGCAGACGTATTTAGTGATATGTAGAAAACCATAATCTTAGTGGCAGACGTGTGTAGTGATATGTAGAAAACCATCATCTAAGTAGCAGGTGTGTGTAGTGATATGTAGAAAACCATCATCTTAGTGGCAGACGTATGTAGTGATATGTAGAAAACCATAATCTTAGTGGCAGACGTGTGTAGTGATATGTAGAAAACCATCATCTAAGTAGCAGGTGTGTGTAGTGATATGTAGAAAACCATCATCTAAGTAGCAGGTGTGTGTAGTGATATGTAGAAAACCATCATCTTAGTGGCAGACGTATGTAGTGATATGTAAAAACCATCTAAGTGACAGACGTGTGTAGTGATATGTAGAAAACCATCATCTAAGTAACAGGTGTGTGTAGTGATATGTAAATAACCATCTAAGTGACAGACGTGTGTAGTGATATGTAGAAAACCATCATCTAAGTGGCAGACGTATGTAGTGATATGTAGAAAACCATCATCTTAGTAGCAGGCGTGTGTAGTGATATGTAGAAAACCATCATCTAAGTGGCAGACGTGTGTAGTGATATGTAGAAAACCATCATCTTAGTGGCAGACGTATGTAGTGATATGTAGAAAACCATCATCTAAGTAGCAGAGTGTGTAGTGATATGTAGAAAACCATCATCTTAGTGGCAGACGTATGTAGTGATATGTAGAAAACCATCATCTTAGTGGCAGACGTATGTAGTGATATGTAGAAAACCATCATCTAAGTAGCAGGCGTGTGTAATGATATGTAGAAAACCATCATCTAAGTAACAGGTGTGTGTAGTGATATGTAGAAAACCATCTAAGTGACAGACGTGTGTAGTGATATGTAGAAAACCATCATCTAAGTGGCAGACGTGTGTAGTGATATGTAGAAAACCATCATCTTAGTGGCAGACGTATGTAGTGATATGTAGAAAACCATCATCTAAGTAGCAGGCGTGTGTAGTGATATGTAGAAAACCATCATCTAAGTGGCAGACGTGTGTAGTGATATGTAGAAAACCATCATCTTAGTGGCAGACGTATGTAGTGATATGTAGAAAACAATCATCTTAGTGGCAGACGTATGTAGTGATATGTAAAAAACCATCATCTAAGTAGCAGGCGTGTGTAGTGATATGTAGAAAACCATCATCTAAGTGGCAGACGTGTGTAGTGATATGTAGAAAACCATCATCTTAGTGGCAGGCGTGTGTAGTGATATGTAGAAAACAATCATCTTAGTGGCAGGCGTTTATAGTGATATGTAGAAAACCATCATCTTAGTGGCATGCTTATGAAGTAATATGTAGAAAACCATCATCTTAGTGGCAGGCGTATGTAGTGATATGTAGAAAACCATCATTTTAGTGGCAGGCGTTTGTAGTGATATGTAGAAAACCATCATCTTAGTGGCAGACGTGTGTAGTGATATGTAGAAAACCATCATCTTAGTGGCATGCGTATGAAGTGATATGTAGAAAACAATCATCTTAGTGGCAGGCGTGTGTAGTGATATGTAGAAAACCATCATCTTAGTGGCAGGCGTGTGTAGTGATATGCAGAAAACAATCATCCTAGTGGCAGGCGTGTGTAGCGATATGTAAAAAACCATCATCTTAGTGGCAGAAGTGTACAGTGATATGTAGAAAACAGACGTAGAATCCATTTTGTGTGGTAAATTAGGAGAGCGATATTTGCTGTCAAACGGCGATGGTGGACAATGACATCCCAATCAAAAGGATAAAGAACATATGTCGTTTTAAAAGTTTCAATTTATTTTTTTTCTGAAATCTATATTTTTGTATTGATTTTATTGCAATCGAGATCTTCTTTTCTAATTCTTTAAAAAATAACTAATGGGAATAGCATTTCACTTATGAAAAATAGAAAAGATATGTCTTAAATTTTTTAAAACAACATTTTGACTATCATTCTACAAGCCATCTTCGCTTGGTTTTGAATTTATTATCGCCGTCGATAATCTAGATCTCTAAAAAAAGTGCAATTGGCTTTTGTAAAAATGAAGAATAAAATTTCTTAATATTGTTTTTAATTTCACTTGAATAACAATCAATTAACCATATACATCTCAAAGGGGTTTGACGTCATTTTGTTTTCGTTTACAAAAGGATGATTACAAATTCCGACTCGCTTCAAATTTGTGTTGAGAAATGTTCGTGAGAGATAACTTTAAAAGTAAGGTACATCGTAAAAATCACCATCTTCATTAATGTTTTGATAAAAGAGAAATCATATATCGACAGTGTGAAAAAATACTCTTTTAAGTGATATGCTCAAATTAGCACGAAAAAGTGCAAATGTTAATTTATATTATAATTTTTTTTATCAAAATTGAAAACGAAACAGATGTCAGTTTTTAAATAATAATAACACAGTACAGTGCTACTACATACACTAAGGACAGCTAATATGACTTTTGAAACCATCAAGCGGACGCTCAGGGTTTAGCCGATGTGTCAAAAATAAGTAACAGTTCGTAAAAATATAAGAATTCAACGATCAATAACGTGCTGTGCGAGGGTATTTAAAAAGTAATGAATATTTGTGTACTGTACATTACAATCTTCGTCAACGAACAGTACTTCAGTGCATTCTCTAAAAGTACACATCGTGTCTCTTTACATACTTTAAGTAATTCTCTGAAGGTACACTTCATGTCTCTTTAGTGACTTTACAGTACGTCAGTGCATGAAAGTACACTTTATGTCTCTTTACACACTTTACAGTAGATCAGTTCATTCTCTGAAGGAACACTTCATGTCTCTTTACACACTTTACAATAGATCAGTACATTCTCTGGAGGAACACTTCATGTCTATTTACATTCTTTACAGTAGATCAGTTCATTCTCTGAATGAGCCCTTCATGTCTATTTACACACTTTACAGTACGTCAGTGCATCGCTTAAAGTACCTTCATGTCTTTCTCGGTCTCAATATTCAGTTATCAAACCTTATTGTGTATTCACATTTTGGTAGGTTGTTTAAAAACTTAAAAAACCCTGTACATCTAACCGATCGCGACTTACAAAACTATCTACCCATGAGTGAATTTGTTAAAATAGAGAGATTAGGCCATAAAACACTAATCGCTAAATCAGCATTGTATGGAGGGTGTGGGTTTTTTTCAGTTAGTGTAATTCTTGATCTTAGTTGAATTAGTTGTATGAATACACATTAATTTTATGTATTTTGGTGATTAGCCTCAGGTGGACTGGATCTCATAGGTTACTACAGTACTCCAAATTAGTGTAGATGGATACCTCAATCGAAACTTCCTCGGCTTTTTTCCAGTATCTTACGAAAAAATAGAACCTCCTATATAATTCATCTCCATTGAGAACTATATTCTGAACTAGTTTTGTTTATATGGAACAATATCGCGGAGGAAAAATAAAAAAGACACAAAGACAAAGAACACTCAGCATTTACTTTTTTGTAAAACATGTGGTGAACGCCGCCAAAGTCAAATCATCAAATCAGGAAATACGTCAGAGTTTATGTGTATTTATATTAATTACTTCACAATCTGACGGAAATGGCCGAGCGATGTTCCGATACCTTTAGTACCAGTGTGAGGGCGGATAGTTTGGTAGTTTTCTATAACCGCGTGCAACACTTTGAAGACAAAACTTTTCAGTGACGCTAGTAAGGTCAAGCACGGGTACTAGGGTGACAGGGCCTTTTGTATCGAAAACTTATGCGTGTAAAACCATTAAAAGTAAGACTACATCGAACAATTTGCATTTTTGCTAGTTTTCGCTGATCCAAACTTAGTTATTTTCTCTCGAGATGAGTTCATTAAAGTAAATCCTAAATCCATGTTTTCTCCAAAACGCGGTACATTTTAAATGGATTTGCGACCATCTTAAAATGATGCAACCAACTAATCATTGTTGGAATGACAGGGGCTAGCATACGCATTCTTTATCAAAGTCGACCTT